TTTTTTTTTTTTTTTTTTTTTTTTTTTTTTTTTTTTTTTTTTTTTTTTTTTTTTTTTTTTTTTTGTGGGCGGGGTGGTCTTTGGTTCATATGATATTTTGCCAACACACAGACAAATTAACACATGGCTGCCTTTGGTAATAGGATAATAAAAATGTTTTGTATCTGGATTACTAATCCAACATCTTGACTGAGAACTCCATTAAGAGTTTCAAACCAATGAAGACTTGATGAGATCTCAGAAAAACACCAATGAAAATGGTGACAGAAAATATCCAAATCATAAATAAGTCTGTATGCAGTCTATGATCTCACCATGAGTGTGTCAGCAGTGGCACTGAAAGTTAAGCATTGAAATGAAGCCAAATGCCTTAATGATACTAATCCCACAATCTGTGTCACTCAGGCAAATTACTGCCTTCTAATAATTATATCCTTTGCTTTGTCACCGGGGACATCCAGTCCTAAACATTTCTTTTAGCTCAGCGTCCCCCCCAGTTTGTCCAAAAGCACTTTATCCGTTTTGAAATGATATCTCATTATGGGCTGATAATTGGCGCGATTCAGTTAATTGCGAAAAAGCTCAAGGTGCAAAGCAATTATCCGGATTCCCACCGGCGAATAAAGGTGTCTGCTTCTCTCTGCGGAGCGACGCCACTGAAGAAGCAGTCTTCCAATTATAGACGCCCACAGATGGGAGCGAGCTTTGGTGTCCCCTAACTCTCACTGGTGGGTGCCGCGTTTCTGTTGGTTTCTTCGTCACCAACTTAAGTTTCTGAAATGGCTGGTGTTCAGAGTCACGAACAGAAGCTGTGCTGGCTTGACTAATGAACCACTAACACCATCAACTTAAAGATAAAGGAGAGGCTACAAAGATGGAATATATTTTTAAATGGCCTTAAATTCAGAAAATATTTTTTTTAATTCTGAGTTGATTAATGAGATGAAGGCTAGGGCCAAGACCAAAGTAGATTCAAGTTGTGAGTCTGGGTCATGACTGAAACAACAAGATCTCAGATACAGGCGGTCAGGAGCAGCCTTGACTATTACTGGCRGCAGGTGGCGAAAAAATAAAACCTCCTGTTTTTTCAATCGCTGAATGTAATACAGCTCCTCTGTGACGTGTACGGATAGATTTCATGTGCTGATAAGGATATTTGCTCAGCCATCTTTATTTACTTAAATTAATATCATCAAATACCAAAATATTGGGATAATTGTTGAAAATACTGTGATATAAAATTTGGGTCATATCGCCCAGCACTACGATCGAGCATAATCATCGCAATGTACGTGTGCACTTAATGGTCACATTGCAGCTTTTATTTTGACGGGTTGCTTCTGCTGGTAGAGGAAAGGTGGCTTTGTGACCAAAAAGCTAAAATTTTCATTTTATTGTGAAATGTCTGGGACAGTAATGGTAAAGTGTTGTCGGTGAATTCTCAAGCTGTGGAGGAAGACAATGATGGACTAAAACAAGTTTGCTGAGCAAATTCACTGAGAACTGGATGAAAAGARGTAAAATACGATTAGCATTAATGCTAATATTAAAGCGTGACAGAAACTGAAATTAAGAGACAMAGAGGCAACACGTTAGGCAGTAAAACACAATTCATGTTTGCACATGACAGATTGAAACATACTCAGGTCCCAGCACAATAAAAGACAAGAATAATTCAAAAACAGACAAAACATATTTATAGCATGTATGATTGACGTAGGTTCATCTTTAACAAGATGGCAGTCGAACTTGTGTTATTCTGGTAATTTATTAAAAATTCCAGTATTTTTTTATATCACAATATATTTTGCAGGGTTAGAAAACATTGCTATGTCTTTTTTTTCCCAGACCTGACTGGAACAAGAGGAAGATGATGGATGATCTTAACATCTGCCTTGTGATAATTTATTAATCAGATTTTGTCTCATTGGTTAGATTCCAGTCAGGACTACACCGACTCGACGGGCATAGACCTCCACGAGTTCCTGGTCAACACACTAAAGGGCAATCCCAGGTAAGCTCAGCGCCGACACTCAAATCTGACTCGTGCTGTTAAAAATTCAGCCATTAGCGCTTCATCTCTTGTGTTTAATGATCTTTTCRCAGAAGCATTTAAAATGTTAATCATTTGCAGCAAAATCAATTCAATTTAATGGGACTGTTGTGATGAGTGAGCTCCCTGAACGGTAGCCTAATGTTGGTGAATGTTCCCATTCTTTACTCAGCGAATCATCTTAAAAGCAATGAATCTAAATCAAGTCCAAAATAAACACCTTTTTTAATATTACCTGTGAAAATGAGAATTTATCTTGGCTGTGTTTTGTCTGTTTCTAGGGATCGAATCATGCTGCTGAAGTTGGAACAGGACATCTTGGATTTCATCAGTAATAATGAGTAAGAGGATTTTAAAATGTATTAAAACTCCTGTTTTTACTAACCTAAAACATGTTTAAAGCTGTCAAAATGGCGCCCAAGTTAGTATCTACAGCAAAGAAAAAAATGGCCAACAGAATCGGCCTTTAAAAACTGTAATTGGTCCATTGACTTGTTAAATGTTTTGCTGCGTCTCTTCATAGGAGCCAAAAGAGGAAGTTCCCCCCCATGACATCCTACCACAGAATGCTGCTGCACCGAGTCGCAGCCTACTTTGGTATGGACCACAACGTAGACCCCAGTGGGAAGTCTGTGGTGATCAACAAAACCATCAACACTAGAATGTAAGCCTGGATTTTATTTGTTTAAATTAATTGTTGTTGGCTGAAGTTAATAAACAAAATATATTTTGATAAATTCTGGTCTCTTTGGGATTATCATATTTTTATTGCCTACTTACAAAGGAAGAATCGAGACACAGTTTTTGCTCGTGTCTACTGTGTTAGCAAAATTTGTTACGCAACACTGGACAAATTTTCATCGACATAAATCTGCAATTAATTAAGTATGGAGTTGACCCAATTCAAGATGGCTGCCGCACCTTCATAACATAGGTGAACAAAGAAACAAGTGTTGGTTTTACAGACGTAGAGCTGAAATTTGGTGTGGTGGTAGCAAAGAGTCGTTCCCAACATGTGATCTGAGCCCACCATCCATCATTTATCTATCCATCCCTACATCCATTCTTTATTCACTTATTTATCCTTTATCCATTTATCCCTACCATCCATCCAACATTTATCTATCCATCCATCCATCCAACATTTATCTATCTATCCATCCATCCAACATTTATCTATCCATCCATCCAACATTTATCTATCTATCCATCCATCCAACATTTATCTATCTATCCATCCATCCAACATTTATCTATCCATCCATCCATCCAACATTTATCTATCCATCCATCCATCCAACATTTATCTATCTATCCATCCATCCAACATTTATCTATCCATCCATCCAACATTTATCTATCCATCCATCCAACATTTATTTATCCATCCATCCATCCAACATTTATCTATCCATCCATCCATCCAACATTTATCCATCCATCCATCCAACATTTATCTATCTATCCATCCAACATTTATCTATCTATCCATCCAACATTTATCTATCTATCCATCCAACATTTATCTATCCATCCATCCAACATTTATCTATCTATCCATCCAACATTTATCTATCTATCCATCCAACATTTATCTATCTATCCATCCATCATCAATCCATCCATCCATCCATCATTTATCCATCCATCCATCCTCTATCCATTTATCATTTATCCATCCATCCATCCATCCATCCATCCATCCATCCTCTATCCATTTATCATTTATCCATCCATCCATCCATCCATCCATCCATCCATCCTCTATCCATTTATCATTTAT